GCGACTGCAACCCTTCCAGACCGGGCGTGGGGCCGAGGACGCGCCAGAACCGCTGGGTCATCCCAGCCTCGGTTCGGACCCTCATCGTGAAGGCTCAAAATCTCAAAATATACTACTAAAACGTTTTTGACCAGTTTATTAAAAAATTGTTTTTTAGCCGACACTCAACAAATGCCGCCGTAGTACGTCTCTCGTGCGTCTCAGTCTCAGTTAATGCACACATCGCCAAACAACCAAGCCTTTCAAACAGAGCCAACCTTACCTTATCGGTAGGTTTCAAAATGTCGAATCTCAAAGTACTTTACTAAAATATTTTATGACTAGATTTTTATTAGAGAACTCTTTTTAGTGCAAATGCCGCCGTCGTCACGGTCAGTATTTTTGTCGTCACAGTCAATATTATCCAAACAGTCAGATAATCAGTAAGTTTCAAAAGCTCAAATCTCAATCATAGTGCTAAAACAATTTATGACTAGTTTATTAGAAAACTGTTTTTTTAGTGCAAATAACCGCCCTATGCAAACTGACTTATGCAATTGCCCTATGCCAAGTTGCCCGTTTTCAGAGAGACCGGTAAATCAGATAGTATGTCTAAGCTCCATTATCAGTAAGTTTCAAAATATCAAATATCATAACATATTACTAAATTGTTTTATGACCAATTTATTAGAAAGCTGTTTTTTTAGTGCAAACAATCGCCCTTACTAGGCAATTGTACAGTTCAATTCAACTCGCAAAAGCAAATTTTGCCGGCTCAATTTAACTCGAAATCAACTCGCAAAAGCAAAACAAAGTTAGCCGCCTACTGTTTGTTCACAAAACCAGTAATCAGCCATCTAAATTTCAGAATCTCAAACTAGTTTTACCAATTTATTTCATGACTAGGATTTTACTAGAAATTCGTTTTTTTAGTGCAAAATGCCGTGTCTGGTGCCGTCTCAAATCGCCGCCTCAAGTCACCGTCTCTGGTTCTGTCTCCAATCGCCGTCTCTGGTGCTACATCAAATGCTACATCAAATGCTCAGTCAGATTCCTCTCTAAGACCCTCATTTCATCAGTATGATTATCAGAGTCACTGAATTACAGTCAATCAACATCTGTTTTTTTTCTCTATCTAAAACTGTAGATTGCCTCCTAGTTATCTCTATTGCCTCATCTGATGAACATAACTGTTTTATTAGTGCTACAAAGTAGTTGAAACTAGATAAATTTTTAATGATAGTTATGGAACAACTTGTTTTATTGGTGCTACAAAGTAGTTTGAACTAGATAAATTTTAATGATAGTTATGGAAACAAAATTCCCAAGTATTTCTTTTTAACTTGAGAAAATTGGCTCTACTGAAGCTAATTGTTATTATTTTTCGGATCCACTCGTGTAATCTTAATTATCTTAATTATGCGTCCAAATGATAAAAACTTTGGCTATATAAATTAACCAAGGATGGATGCTTACACTCAAAACGGGCTCATGACGATCGAAATGTGGTGGTCTTCTCCTTTCTTAAAAACTATAGAAATGAATCTTCGATCCTCATTTTATAAACTCACTGTTCATTCCTCCTTTTCCCTTCTATAGTTATGTCAGAATTTTCCGGTCCAATATCAGAATTTCCTAGAGTTTCAATTGATCACTTCAATGGTGAGAACCTCAAATCTACGGTTTATTTTTTTCGCACTGTCATACAGATCACATGGTGGGCCTTAATGAGCCTGAGCTCTTCGAAAAGTTAAAATAATACATTTGAAAAATTTTTGTCATAAAGTTTCGGCTACTTTGTTGAGTGCATTGCCGCTTTATGTTCATTTAAGTCCATATATAATACCTCTGGATTCAGATAATGAGACAACATTGAATGTTTCATTGGGAGGGGACGAGACTCATACCCTAACTGTCACTCTTATTCCTGCAGGTCACTGTCCAGGTTCAGTAATGTTCCTACTAACTTTCAAAGAAAAATCTGCCCTTTTTACTGGCAATTTCAGAGGGCAAGTTGATCATACGAAACGAATCAATCATCTTTTCGACAATTCACAAGAAGCTGCTGTTCATAATTTTGATAATATTTTGCATCGACACAACGTTTTGCAAAACAGATTCCAATTTCATACCTTGTATGGAGAGCTGTCTTTCAGCCATCTTTCAAGCCGTGTCCGCATGGCTCTGTTCATTTCAAAATAATGGGATCCATTTTTGTAACAAAACTCGCTACGGTTATGAGTTTTCGATGAAAGAGCTTGCACTTAGACTCAACACTAAAGTTCACGTTTCATTATGTCAGTATCAGTCGACAAATTTGTTCCGTCAATTAAAAATTGGCTCACCTTAGATAGCGAAAGTACCAAAATCCATTTGTGCAAGCCGTCTTCTGGGTCTGCGATTTTAAAACTGCCTTGCAAGCCGGGCATCTCAAGTCCAGAAGTGCTTACAATCATTCCAATTGCAGAGTTCTTCACTAAAAACGAGATAATGCCTGAGAGATTGGTTAAAGCCATGTCTGTGAGAACCATTCGGTGCTGTTAATCTTCGAACTCTTCAGCTCACGAAAAAATTGATTTCCTTTCGAGTCTGCAGTTGAAAATATTACACCCTTCGTTTGTCCGGATAAAGATACTCCACTTGACTCCGTGAAAGCTTTTATTTTAGATACGCCCAAACATCAGAATCCAAACACGTCAAACGATTCGAGTACAAAGTTGGGGAAAGAGAAAATTAAAGTCAATAAGAGAGGTAAACGCAAACTTTATCTGAAAAAAATATCAACAAACACACCAGACTACGAATACCATAGTGAGCCATTAAGACAACAAAGACGCTTTGTCGAAGGTGGAGTTTTCGAAGGAAAGGGTTCAGAAACAGCAAAAACAGCCAAGGAGACAAATATTTCAACAAAAACACCAGACTATAAATACCATAGTGAGCCATTGAGACAACACAGACGCTTTGTCGAAAGTGGAGATTTCGAGGAAAAGGATTCAGAAAGAACAGAAAAAGTGATCCAATTGCTCAAAAACACCTAAAACCAATATTCTACTTTTCGTACTGTATTTTTTAGTTACCGCTTGTTCAAGTTTTTCAGTTTCAAGTCTTTTCAGTTTTAATCAAACGAGGATTTTTAATGCAGTTTTTGGAGGACATTTCAGTTCAGCTTTCAAAAAAAACAATCGAGCCGTCCTTTATCTCGTCTGAAACGCTGATGAGTGCGATGATAATTTCTGAACCATCTCATCTCAAATACTGATGAGTGACTTAGCTGCCATTTCAAACTGAATTATCTCATCTCAAATACTGATGATGATTTCTTATGCATAACTGAACCATCTCATCTCAAATACTGATGAGTGACTTAACTGCCCCCATTTCCAACATGAACTGCCATTTCAAATCTTGAACAGCCATTTCAAACCCATTTCAAACCAAAAGGAAAAATTTGACATCCGCGTAGTTAACCATTGTTTTATGATTGGTTTGTGGATTCCGCTGACAAATGGATAAGTCCTTTTGCATTCAAATTGCGCGTTCCTATAGATAATAAATCAAATATTCCACCTCTATCTTTTAATTGTTCATTTGCAAGTTCAGTAATAAACAAAAATGCTGGATCCACTTACAATTTGCGGAATCCGCTTACATTTGCGGATTCCGCATACAAATTTTGCGGATTTCACTTAAAATTGCGGATTCCACTTACATTATGCGGAATCCACTTAGTTGCGGAAGCCAGAACAACTAGCTATATTTGCTTGTTGCGGAATCCGCAACAAAACAAATGTGCCGAAAAAATGTACGTTACAGGTATACGTATGCGGAATCCACTGAAGTTTTGTTTGTGGAATCCACTTACATTTTGGAACATATTTTAAGATTTTTCTCTTGAATCCAGAAACATACAGACACAAAACTGTGCTCCTATCCAATGCACAGTTTGGCCGCATAATGTATGACAAGGTTTTCTTGTCAACCCTGGATTCTGATAAAAAAAATCTCAGCAGCAGTCTGTGAAAAAAAACCTCTGTGACAAATTATCAATCTCTAGGATTATATCTGCAGTTACTGCCGGATTTCATTAACTTCTTATCAAATGTATTTTTGTATCACATGTAGTTTGACAAACAAATTCCGAATTGTTCTTAAGCAACTTTAGTAAACAATTAAAGGGATTATTAAACCTATTGTGGTGTTATTTTTCCGAGGCGTCAATCCATTTTTTTCATCAAGAAAGTTTAAAAATTAAAAAAATTGTGTCGAATTCTTTGTCGTCAACCTTTTTCAGTAATCGTGGTTCGTTCTTTGATACAATTGTGTGACGTTCATTTCTAGCTGACTGATCATAAATTTTTTGTAAGTGGTTTTTAAAGGCGCTTACCAAATTTTCGGGACATGCCGAAAAAAACGCAAATCGTTTTATCAAAACCTTCAAAAAAGTGTTTAGAAACGAGGAATTGAAAAAAATAGCCTAAGCTCATAAAAAATTCTCAAAATAGAATCTTCATTTTGTTCTAGCAATGCTAGAAAAATTGAATCGATCGTCTAAAACAGGCCGGCAAAGTTTTTGTGAAGGTCGGCCATTTTTTCAGAGTTTCGTTTCTCGATCAACCATTCAGTGTCTGAGAGATCAGATGCAAAGAAACGCATCATCTGAAAATTCAAATACGGTGATAATCTAAAGCAAACTTCATCATCTTATAGTTACTTTTCTCTAATTGAAGAAGGAGTTCAGTGCACTTGGCAACTTCAAGTGTAACACAGAATCAGAAGAGTATTTATCATATGAGTCATTAATTTAAATTTTGCTTCAATTCAATCGTGACAAAACTTATTATAACTATTATTCCAAAAGGATCCGAAACTTTCATCTAAATCTTAGAAACTGAATAACTTTGAGAACCTTCGATAATAGTTATGATTTAATTACTCTTAACGACAAGTCAACGCAAAAACTTTTTTCGTATACACAGCTCAATAAAATTTTCGTTATCACAAGCTGTGATTATGAAAAAGTTGCTGAGCTGTTTATACGAAAGAGCTTTTTGCGTTTACTTGTCGTTAAAAGTAATTAAAATAAAGCTTTTTTAGAAGGCTCTCAAAGCTAACCAGATTCATAAATTTAAATGAAACGTTTCGGCTTGATTTTCAGCGCTTATTTTGAAACGAAAATCCACTCATAAATTGATTGGAAGAACCAAAATGGCAGCTTCACAACTCCATCAGAGCATTTTAGGGATCTAGTCAATAATTTCCCGCAATGTTTTTTAAAGTAAAGCTTCTATTTCCAATGTAGTATCGAATGGCAAACTCTCCCCCCCCCCCCCATCTAAAATCAAGTTAATCGTGAATTCGTAGTTTGATATCGGCGGCAATCAATTTTTTAACGGTGAATGTGACAGTGTTGAGAAAAAAAACTACTTTGAGCTTTTTTGAAGCAAACAATTTCGATTTGACGACAACAATTGAAAACTTTTCGAATGACACAACAAAAACAAACGCAAACAGAAGATAGATCGGTTACGACACGGGCTCTTAGGCACGGTAATGTTTGGGAACAACTGCGCACATGTGTCGATAGAAAAGTTTAAGCCCTCCGTCAACCAGAAAAAGTACTGATTGGGGCTATTATTGTCTAGATCCCATTGTAGACTGCAAACAGTCAGTCGAGAATGATCAGACGAGCAAACTAGTCGGATGGGCAACTGAATATCTAGACGCAGAACTGATTTGCAATTTAAATGTGGAGGAGTCATTGGCAGGCGTGTTGGCCGAAAAATTTGGGCTGTCTTTTTCAAGTAAGTTTAATTTGGCACCACAATTCTAAAGCTTAGAACTGAAGCTAAGCTGAGCTTCAACAATGAGAAATCAATTCTTTCTTTCTTTCTTTCTTTCTTTCTTTCTTTTTATACTAGTTTGTCTGAATGTTTTTGTTCCGACTTCCAAAGAAAAGACATATTATTCATGTTTAGGGTGATTTTTTTATTCAGTCAAAATTCAACTTTGTAACTAAGCGTTTTTGACACAATTTTCTTATGCCATCTCTCAAATTTTACAAAAAAACTTTCACCTGTGATCCTTTTTCGCAACTTCAATTTCACAGAATCGAATTACCAAACTGTTTTGGACTTCACTAACAAACACCTCTTAACGTAAGTTTTGTCGGCATGATCAAAATATTTTTGTAATAAAAAACAGCTTTCCAGCTGATTCCGCTACGATACTTAACCGTACTGAAGTTTCATCTATAATAATCCATTATTTTGGATTTTGATTGTCCGTCTCCACAAAAAAAAACAAAAACAATCTTCTATAATTGATTTGAAAAGGATCAAAATCTTAGTTTTTGTCAACTCATTAAAATCCATTTTAATCGATTATAATCAATTATTAGGTAATATAATGGATTATAATAGATTTTGAAAATTTTTCTGAAAATTCAAACTACACTTTATTAAAATTTTAGTACTTCAGGGGTAGGGTTGGTGTGAACATTAATTGCAGGGGGATGAGTAAACGCGGGGGGAAGGGGTTGGGGTTGTGGTGAACAGTAACGGGGTGTTATATAAAATTGATTCGAGTAGGCTGTGAGTGTAGCAAAAACCGTAGAAAATTTTGAAAAAAAAATTAGATTATAATCCATTATAATCACTTATAATAGATTTAAAATTAGTTATTATCAATTTTAATGGATTAATCGGATTGTGTTTTTATGGAAATAATCGGTTATAATGACAAAATAATTGATTTCATGGTCTAAATTTGCAACAATAAAGAATTAGAACGACAACATTTTAGTCAACATTTTTCCATTATTATCGACTTTAACCCATGAAACTCCGGTGCGGGTTTGGCTTTTACTCCAGTCTTCTCGCGGAACCCGCATGGTTGAAAAGACGCAGTTTGGTCTGGTAATGACGGCTACAAATTGTGCTCAATAAGGAAGAGTTTTATTCCCCTCTCACCCACCCCTGGTCTGCTCACAAACTGAGAAATATTCTAACTAAAATTGAAGAAATCTTAATAAGTCCCCACAAGATATAGGGTCAAACTACCGTAAGAAGTGGTTTGATCTCGACCTAAAACACTAATATAAAGCTGCTGTGGTATTCTATTTACATTGAGTTATGACCTATTTGGTTATACTCAGAGTAATTTGCGATAAGGTACACCGTCTGCTCGTCACGCTATCTTATTTTCGGCCGGATAGATTCGTGCAACTTCTTAGTCTAATACCGATCTTAATCTTACTCTTATATCTCCTATATTACGATATTACGATTACATTAGATATTTTAAGACTTGTCTCTGGAATCCAGGAACATACAGACACAAAATTGTGCGCCTATCCAGTGCACAGTTTGGCCTCGTAATGTAGTCTTAATAGATCGGGGGCTATTCTCATGCGCAAAGGACCAAATGAGCGAAAAAACTCGTGAGCGGAAGATTGAACACAATTTAGCCGAAAGTCAATTTTTAAAAAGAAGCAATTGCCATTCAATTGAAATGAATCAAATGAAGCAATATCTTTCATCACGAAACCCTTGAAATATAAAATTTGTCCCAATTTTGCGGCGGTCAATGACAATTTGAAAATTTTGCAAATTTCTGCCGTTTTAATATTCGGCCAATATCAAAAATCCAGTCCCTGGAAATGTTTACTTTTTTCCAAATTTTAGATTGCTGAAATCTGATTGGCTGATTTGTATTTTCGCGCATTCGGTCCTTCGCGCATGAGGGATTCCACCAATAGATCTAGTGTATGCTGGTTTATGCGAGTTTGTTGGTGGAGTTTATCCAGAAGAAGAACAAGTGTATTCTAATTTTTATTCAAATTGTTCTGGTGCTGAAACTACAAGTAGTTTCAGCACTTACAAATAAGTGTCAATGTTAGAGATGGAATATGATTGGTTATTTACTAAGAATTTATAGTGATAGTTTATCAATAATATAATTGGTTTATAAATACTAGTTTAGAACTGGTTCCAACATTGACCAGTCTCACACTAGCCAAGATAAAATTTACTGAAAAACTAAAATATTTTTAAAATAATAAACGAGAGCGATTGAGTATAAACTCATAAAAATCTGTAAGTTTATGACTTTCTCTTTTTCTTTGAGCTGAAAAATGACACACGAGCAAAAAATTCAAATGGGTCAAAAAGGAAAACAAATTGCTGCTGTGTTCTCTACGCATTCTTAAGTATGACACTACTGCAGAAGTTATTTTGAAAGTTTCATGATAAATCTTTTTCTACTGCCACAGTAAACCGCTTTTTTTCTACAAATCCTAAATGAGATATTAGTGCATGTTTTAAGGATTTAATAAATTGAACAAAAAAAGCAAACAGTTGAAAACAAGCTATAATGTCGGTTTTAGCGTGCTTTTTGTTGGGTAAAGATGAATGGGACGTTAAACTTACTTCGGCTCAAAATTTCAAGATTCCGTCAGAAAGGCATTGTTTTTGGACGTTTTTTTAGCCAGATTTTTTTAAATTGTCATTTATCTTTCTGAAGGGCTGCAAGAGCTTAACTGTTAGTCAGTTGTAACGTTTACCGACAATTGTAAATTACTCCTGTGTTCAACCAGGGAGATCACTGGGTCACTAATTTTGGACCAAAAATTAACATCTCAACCCGTTTTTAAAACATCTGAACGTTATTTTTACATTCCACACTATATGAGTACAATTTATGTTTTTCGAGTAAACATTTGAAATTGCAATAACAAAAAAAAAACAAAATTCAAATGTGAAATTTAGATCTGCATTAATTTTTCATACCGATACTCCGGTTTTAGGATGGGAAAATGTTTTGGGAAAGTATGAAACAAAAAAAAATTCTGCAGCCGAAAATCTATCACGCATAGTTGCATTGCACCAATGATTGCATTGCACCAATGACTGCACCCATGACTTTATTGATTACATCGCCTAATCGGACACGATGAACTTTCTGTTTTCTTGTGGATGAAAAAACACAATGCAATGCTAAAGTGAATTGAAAGTTCCACCAGCCGGTTATAAAAAATGTCGCGGATCTTTGATGTTCTCAGTAGCTTCGCACAATCGACAGACATCTAACCGCGAAAACAAAAAAAATAACGACGAACTGACTTTACTTTTTTGGTGCCTGTAAAATACGACGTATCAATCCAAAGTTGCAAATGGTTACGTAGCAGTATTTAGACAACCGCGTATTCAGACACAGGGGTGTTCTAAAATTAATGGGGGGAGGGGAATTAATTGCAATTAATGGGATGCAATTAATTGACTGCGGTACTTTTGTAAACCCATTAATTGATGGTAAAGCAAGCAATTAATTAGCAATAATAACACGTATTTTTAACACTTATTATAACAGTATTGTAGGCCTGATGTAGCCTGGAAATTCGTTCAGTGTGTGAATGACATCGACTTTTGCCGGCAAGCTTGGAATGTCAGTTATTCCTCTTGTGCAACAGCCGTCTATAGGGCAAAAAGACACAGAAGTTTGTAAAGAATTATTCTCAAAATGCAGAACAATAAATTAGTTTCTTGAAAATATGTTTCATTTGGTACAGCCCATTAATTGCAATTAATTGCAATAACTGATTGATAAAAAGTCCCCATTACAATTAATTGATTGCCTTGCAAAAAACTCAAAAAATTAATTGCAAATTATTTTTGAAAATCCCTGTTCAGACACGCCAGTATTTAGACAAATACTGTTTTAACCAATCAGAATGGAGACCAGGAAGGAATTAATAAACAATTATCATTTATTTTGGATTATTTATGTCTGATCTCGATTCTGATTGGGTCATACAGTATTTGTCTAAATACTGAAGAGTATGAATACGCGGTTGTCTAAATAAAAACCGCACTCCGTTGCAAATTTTCAGTTGAACTTTTTCAATTTGCAAAGTATTTTTTTTTTCAGATGAAAAAGTGCAGAACTTCGCCTACGTTCTCAGCTATGCGGCTGTGATTGAGTTTGCATACCACGTGGTTGGAGTGGTGGCTTCATTTTCTTCTGTGGATTTGACTGGGGTTGCTCTGGCCCAAATCAAAAAGAGCCTGGAAGGTATCAAGATTTAATGTAATGTAAAATTTAAAAAAAAATAGCAATTAACTTGTGGGAGAGAAAGAGGAGTTTTTTTTTGAAATTAGAATTATCCGCTTGGTTGTTATTAACACCTGTTTATCGCCAGACTTCAAATATTTTGGACTCTTGCACCAACAACAGCGGCTTTAACACAACTAAAAAATGCAACAAACAAAAAAATTGGCAAAAAAAGGCGCTTTAAAATATCAAAAAACCTGATTATTAAGATGCTAATTTGTTCCTTTCAAAGATATTAAGAAGATGATCGGCGTCATTCTTGCTGAGCCTCTCAAATCGGCAATCGACAAAGTCTCAACAGCTATGAATCTCCTGCAGAACGAGGAGATCAAACTGGCCGTCGAAGAGTTCAAGGACTGTTTTCCAGACATCCGTTGACACTTTCTTCCAATTTTTAGTCTTTTAGTCAATGACTGTCTTTATTGGACTTGTGATCTCAAAATTTAATTGCAATGATCGTTCACAAACAGCACAGAAATTTGCATCATTTAGTAATCAAAACATTTTTTTTATTTTTTCATCATAACATTTTTTTCTGAAAACTGAAGTAGTTTTTTCTTTATCCTCTCAGTTATAATGCTAGAAAAGGATCCGGGTAATTGCACATCTTCTGACTTAAATAAAAGAAAGGATGCTTAGAAAACAGTCCTCGTTCAAGGGTGCAAAAATTGATGCTAACAAGGCCTACCATTACACAGTAGGCCAAGGAAAAGATTTGGACAATTTACGACAAGCTGTGACTGCAAAAAAGATTCTAATTCTGTCCAATCTTTGCATTTTGTCGTACCAGGAAAAAACGGAAACTATCCAACCATTTCATATATTGGATAAGAAACGACAAAACATCATTGCCGTTGAACTTGAAAGATATTGCACGGAACTTATCGATTATCAAAAAACGCTTAACCGAGGCGTACCTTTGCTTAACCGGTCCAAAAAATCAAAAGAAATCAGCGACTTAACTAACTCTTTGTTGCAAATTGCCTATCCTTACATATCTGAAGGAAAACACTTAACCTGTGCTATGGATAGAATTAGCCCAGGAGATAAGAAAGCGATTAAATTTGATCTAAATTTAATTCCTGAGGGAATGGAACACAGAACTACCATCAAAATTGGAACTCATTTTGAGGAGGAAAAAACGACTTTTGTGAGTTGCTCAATTTGGAGAGATCAAGAATATGTTTACGCGAGTAACCGATTACCAGACAAAACTTCACTTGATTCGACGGAAATTAGCGTTTCAATCGATCTAGATCCTTTGATATTGGAAACTATCTACAACACGAATGAAGTCAAAATTCCTAAAAACGACGGAACGTTAAAATTTTTCAAAATTTTCGACAAAAACTACGGAACTGCTTATATGAGCGTCGGCCGCGAAAGATCCCAAACTTTATATCTCTACAAGTTAAGCGACAATTTCTGGTATTGCTCTTCTCAACTTGGGTCAGCAGACTTGGACCAATGTTATTTTCAAAGTATCCCTTATGATGACGAATCACAGGAAAAACCGCTGAAGAAAATAAAATGGCGGCATCCAAGTCGTTTTAGTTGGATCGACGATGAAAACAATGAAGTTATTGGAGTTTCTTCATTATCGACTGAACAAAAAAGCGAACTTTCTGTTCGAAATGAAACTGAACAAAATGAACAAAATTCAAAGTGGATGCCAGAACAAATTATGATCACGCATTCTGACCAAACAACTTTCCTAGCACATTACTGCTTGGGTTTATACGATGCCTGTTACGAATATTCCGACCAGACAAAAGGAATTATGTATGTTAAAAGGAGCACAACTTGTGAAGATTGTCTTTACCTGTACAAGGAAGAGAAGGGAAAATGGTATCTAAAAGAGTCGAACCACCACTCGAAACTAGGTGAAGTTGTACAATTTAAGTCAATTATCTCAGTAAAAATTATTGAAGTAAGTGCGTTGTAGAGAAAAAGAAATTAGGAAAAATTGGAAAAATTAGAAGTGTTGTGCGATTGGTAGAATCCACTTAAAATCTTCTACTTGCATGATCATTATAGGGTTTGAGTTTGAGGGCGAATGTAATTTTTATCAAACTTCAAAAAAATACAAAAAAACTAAGGCTAAAAAAACAAGGACATCTGGTTGCTGTGCAAATTTCACAAAAAATTTCGACTACAAAATTTTAAGTAAAAAAATTCGAAATTCTGGGAAAAAAACGCATAATAAAAAATCGAAAACTTTGATTTTATTTTTTCTTTTATTTTTGCCGAAATTATTGTTTTTTTATAAAGAGCGATAAAGTTACATTAAAGGCGACCAAATTTGCAGTGATGATAATTGCTAAAGTAAATCAAAAACCCGCGTTAAAATTGAATTGAGATAGCAGTGTCATTCATAAAGGAAAAAACCAGACCCAAATTTCTCGTAACTGAGACTCGTTTTTGAACTTTTTCGGGGTCCGAGTCACGGCTGAAAATCCTTCATTTTGATGCCACCCGTACCTGCGATTTTATACCTTTGAGTTTTGCTTGCGCCCTTAATTAAAGGGCGCAAAAAAGCACGACTAATCCATAAATTTTTCAGTTCACTTTCAGTTACGCGATTGGAACAAAAAAACTTAAAAATTTGCATTTAAGTTTGAATCTGGGCTACAACATTAGCTCCACGTAAAAACGGAACAGCTTAAGCGATGGTATGTATTATTGGTTAATAAAAAGAACTCGAGTTAATACAGCAAATTCTGACTCAAATTGTACAATTTTACCTCAACTTAGGCGCCACTACCAGCTCGAAAGTCCTCCGCAACAAAACGGATCCGGATTCTGAAGTGCCACCGACTACTGGGTGGGAGTACTGCACTGGTTGTGGTGGCAACAACAGCTGGGAACTCATTCAACAAATAGAAGTTTACTGCATTATTAAACCACGATGAAAGCAAAGTTGGGCTCTTTTAAACTTTCCCTCCTATTTCTATTTTTCACACTTGCAATTTCAACTGCCATAAAATGGCTTAAATTGAGTCTATTAAGTAAAGAGTCAAAACCTTAATTTCCGATGATATTTTTTGATCAGATCAAATTTGTTTCAATGCAGAGTCGTTCAGAAAAAATCAAAATTTAGAAAACAATTGAAGCTAACAGAGAAAGAAAAAAGAGCCCAGAACAACGACACATAAATGTTTAAAATCAGATTCGACATTTATGAAAAAGACTTCAAACTTGATTTATAAACTTGTACAGATCTGTTCAATTGTTAAATTCAAAATTAACACATCAAAAATCAATATACCAGCATAATAGTTTATAACGGTTTATCATCAAAGTAGCATAAAGTTTCAAAAATTTATAAATAGCACTTAAAGATTTTAGAAAAAAAACGAGATAAAGATTTTAACTTGACACAGGTTTAAAAAAGTGTGTGAAGTTTTTCACCTTCGCCCAGCAAGCATGTGGACCCCTTCTGAACTCGCTTGAGGCAGTTGTCAGCTCCAACACTCTCCAAACGGGGCAATCACCTTCTCTGGATGTACGTCTTGAACCACGCGCGATACCTGAAAAGCCCTCTACAAACGCGAAACCTGAGCAGGCCTCTGCAAGTTTTTTGTCCGTGTTCTTTTTTGTTTTTGAGCAAGCAGTTATTTGAAAGTTTAAATCTTTCGGTCTGAATTCGATCAAATAAATTCAGCGAGCACGCTTAGTTCCTTTTCCAACCAAAAACAGTTGCCACTAATATATCTAATATATAATCACTGGAATTGGTCGAGTAATATGGGTCTAATGATATTTTTGTTTAAGTCTGATTTCGAGCGAATGAAGCTTTTGAAAAACCTTTTCCCTAGTAGTTAACTAAAAATAATTGGTTTTACTCCAGGAAGCTTCATTTAGTGCTTTTTTGGAATTAAAAATTTTTTTGTTAAACAAAAATATGACGAAAATAAATTGAAAAAAAAAACCCTTGGATTTTTTTTCTGATTTCTTGTTCGTTTTTTTTTCTATTCAATTTTTGAAGACAACTAGCCTAAATCTCACTAGCCCCAAAACAACTACTTCGATTTTTTTTAAATATTGGTCGGAATATTGGTCGGAACATTGGTCGGAACATTGTGCTATTTGAGCAGATACCGGCTGAAATCGTTGCAGTTCGATTTTACCAGATGTAGATATCATTGCCAAAGCAAAACTGTTGAATCGGTAACCGATAGATTGTTCGTACAGTTTTTGTTTATACAATCTTTGTTTGAAATTGATTTTTTTTTCTAGTAGAAACTATTTTGGCGTTATTTTCTGTGTTTTTTCGCGGATTCATCTTAAAATTAAAACTAAAAATTGAGTGGAAAAAGAATCATGAAAATGGATGTCTTGCTTACACTGTAGCTTTCATGGATGCCGAAAGCAAAAAATTATTGCAGAAGGCAAAAAAAATTGTTCTTGAACATAAATTAAGGGACAATTTTCTTAATTGCTGTTGTAATTTTTCACTAGCCAAAAGGTAGGAGAATAACTTGTTCAGGTTCGGGTCTTATAGTTTCTGAATTTCTATTCGGACAAAATTAATTTCCAATCAATGTTTCGGAGTTCGTCATATTTTTGTAGAAACAACATTTGAGCCAAAAACGACCATTTTAAAAGTAAATATTGCTCTTTCTGGTGTCAGACGAAAATAATTATTTTTATTACTAGGTAAACTTTAACTGGGTTGCTTAAAGCGTTCACTTTGATATTACGCTTTCTTAAACCCGTCGGTTTTTGTCGCTTTTCATCTGATCAGATCAACTCTTATCGCCATTATACGCAGATTAAGACTTTTGAACACTTCAGAAATTTTCGTACATTAGCTCATTTCTGAACCGAAAATGTCTTTTTTAAATTGACCCTTCGCAACTCCTTGCTCATTGGGCTTATGTCGCGCATAAAAAAATTTTTTGTTGAAAAAAGTCGTAGTTTAACAGCATTAAAACATGAAGTGATTTTTTTCATAAGATTTGATTGTTTATGATAAGGAAAACTGGTTATTAACGCGCATCAATCATTTAAATTTGGCAATTTTGAAACCACCATACCTGTGTAAAAAAAAGGACATCAATAGCTTTCAAAACAAAAACAGTCTATTGTGATACCCACTACAACAAATGGTATACACAAATTTTATATCCTCTACAACAAACCACTACTGCTTTGTATATGCACTGTAACAAAATCAAATTTAAAAGTATACGACTTTGGTTAAGAAACGCAGTTTTTGAAATATCACAGAAGCGTTTGCTTTGGGGATTTTGGGGGCTAAGGTAAGAACAAGACTGCTCGTATCAGGGCGAAGCCCTGAATGTTCCGACTGCCTTTTAAGGCTTATGGAGCAGTAACAACATTAAAAAATTAAAAGTAATAAAACAAAATGAAAC